ATATGGTAACAAAATCATAATCAGCAAAAGACAAAATAAATGAATGGGACCTCATAAAAATTAAAAACTTTTGTTCATCAAAAGACTTTACCAAAAAGGTGAAAAGACAAACTACCAACTGGGAGAATATTTTTGGAAACCATATAGCCGACAAGAATCTAATAACCAAAATATATATATAACTTTGACAGCTTAAGAACAAAAAGGCAAATAACCCAGTCATAAAATGGGCAAAGGACTTGAATAGACATTTCACCAGAGATGACATTCAAACGGCCACTAAACACATTAAATGATGCTCAGCATCATTAGCCATCAGGGAGATGCAAATCAAAACCACAATGAGATACCATTTCATTCCCACTAGGATGCCTAAGATAAAAATAAATAAATAAATAAATAAAAGTAACAGAAAATACCAAATGTTGGTGAGGATGTGGGAAAATTGGCACCCTTATCCATTGCTGGTGGGAGTGCAAAGTTGTACAGCTTTTGTGGAAAACAATGTGGCGGTTTCTCAAAAAACTTAAGATAGAACTACCATATGACCCAGCAATTCTACTCGTAGGTATCTACCCAAAAGACCTGAAAGCAGATACTCCGAAAGAGACTTGTACACCAATGCTCATTGCAGCTGTACTCACAATAATCAAAAGGTGGAAACAGCCTAAATGCCCATCAGCAGATGAATGGATAAACAAAATGTGGTACATACATACAATGGAATACTGCTCAGCCAGTAGGAGAAATGAAGTCTTGATACATGCTGCAGTATGGGCGGAGCTTGAAGACATTATGCTGAGCAAAATAAGCCAATCCCAAAAGGATAAATATTGTATGATCTCACTTATATTAAAAAGAACAAGAAAAAGCAAATGTAGAGACATCAAAGTTTATTAGCAGTTACCAGGGGCAGGAAGGAGGGGGAGAGGAGGCTAATGGTGATGGAAAAGTTGCATTGAGTAAGAGTAAGGTTGCACAGCCCATTATTGTAACTGCTATCAATAAGTTGTACACCTCCATCTGGAGCAAGGGAGAATGAAGAAAACCAAAGACACAAGGGAAAGGTTAGTCCAAAGGACAATGGAACACAACTACCACAGTCTTCACCAGACTGAGTCTAGCACAACTAGATGGTGCCTGGCTACCACCACCAACTACTCTGACAGGGATCACAATGGAGGGTCCTGGACAGCTGGAGAAAAATGTAGAACAAAATTCTAACTCACCAAAAAAAAAAAAAAAAAAAAGACCAGACTTACTGGTCTGACAGAGACAAGAGAAACCCGAAGAGTATGGCCCCAGGACACCCTTATAGCTCAGTAATGAAGTCACTCCTGAGGTTCACCCTTCAGCTAAAGGTTAGATAGGCCCATAAAACAAAACGAGACTAAATGGGCACACCAGCCCAGGGGCAAGGACAAGAAGGCAGGAGAGGACAGGAAGGTTGGTAATGGGGAACCTAACATCGAGAAGGGGAGAATGTTGACATGTCGTGGGGTTGGCAACCAACGTCACAAAACAATATGTGTATTAATTGTTTAATAAGAAAACAGTTTGCTCAGTAAACCTTCAGGTAAATTACAATGATAAAAAAAGTTGTACACGTGTAAAAAGTTGAATTGGCAAAAGTTGGGCGATAGATATATTTACAATGGAAAAAAAAAAGAGTAGCTGTTGAGGCTGCTTATGTACAACCAAACACCTCATGGGACTTGGTTCCTTGGTTTGGAGGTATAGGGTCATGGTTCCACGTTACATCCCAGTTAATTGGCCTAATAACGTGTTTAGTGCTTCTGTTCTACTTCCTAGTTCATTGTATAGTGCCAGGGGTCTTAAAAGCTTGCAAGTGACTAACGATTGGTCTCTATTCACCTGGAGCAACAGAGAAGAAGGAGAGTCAGGAATAGTAGGAGAATATGGAATGTGTGACTAATTGCCTCCATGAATAACTGCCTTCTTTGCCATGAGAACACAAGAACTGAATGGTGACTGGCTACCAGTACTGAACATTTAGATCAAAGATTATGTACAAGAATCCTGATCAAAAGGGGGAAAATGTAGAACAGAATTGGAAATCCTCATGGACTCTAGACTTTATGGAGCTATGGAGGGTAGATGAACCCCTGAAACTATTGCCCTGAGATACTCTTTAAACGTTAAACCAAAAATATCTCTTGAAGTCATCTTAAAACCCAACAGTAGTTTAGCATAACTAGTAAAAATGATCTGTCTTGAGCATTATGCTCTTTTAAGAACTAGCTGATGGGATCAGATTGACAACAGCAACTCAAAAGATTAGATAGGAACTTTAGGGGGCAGTGAGTTTATGTTAATGAGGGAGGAACAACTCAAAAGGAGAGTGAGAATGGTTGCACAACTTGAAGAATGTAATCAGTGTCACTAAACTGTACACATAGAAACTGTTCAGTTGGTGTATGTTTTGTTGTGCATATTCTCAACAACAACAAAATAAATAAAAAGAAGATGAAAGGAATACACAGAATTACTGTCTCAAAAAGAATTGGTTGATGTTCCACCATTTCAGGAGGTAGCATATGATCAAGAACCTATAGTACTGAGGGAAGAAGTCCAAAGTGCACTGAAGGCATTGGCGAAAAACAGGGCTCCAGGAATTGATGAAATACCGATTGAGATGCTTCAGCAAATGGATGCAGCGCAGGAAGTGCTCATTCATCTGTGCCAAGAAATTTGGAAGACAGCTGCCTGGCCAACTGACTGGAAGAGATCCATAGTTGTGCCCATTCCAAAGAAAGGTAATCCAGCGGAATACAGAAAATTATTGAACAATGTCATTAATAGCACATGCAAGAAAAATTTTGCTGAAGATAATTAAAAAACGGTTGCAGCAGTACATCAACAGGAAACTGCCAGAAATTCAAGTGGGTTTAAGAAGAGAACATGAAACAAGGAATATCATTGCTGATGTCAGATGGATCTTGGCTGAAAGCAGAGAATACTATAAAGATGCTTACCTGTGTTTTATCAACTATGCAAAGGCATTTGACTGTCTGGATCATAACAAATTATGGATAACATTGTGAAAAATGAGAATTCCAGAACACTCAATTGTGCTCACGTGGAACCTATACATAGACCAAGGAGCAGTTGTTCAAACAGAACAAGGGGATACTGGGTGGTTTAAAATCAGAAAAGGTGTGTTTCAGGGTTGCATCCTTTCACCATACTTATTCAATCTGTATGCTGAGCAAATAATCCAAGCAACTGGACTATATGAAAGAGAACGCATCATCAGGATTGCAGGAAAACTCACTGACAACCTGTGATACGCAGATGACACAACCTTGCTTGCTGAAGGTGAAGAGGACTTGAAGCACTTACTGGTGAAGATCAAAGACGACAGCCTTCAGTAGGGATTACACCTCGACATAAAGAAAACAAAAATCCTCACAACTGGACTAATAAGCGATGTCATGATAAATGGAGAAAAGATCGAAGTTGTCAAAGATTTCATTTTACTCGGATCCGCAATCAACACGCATGGAAGCAGCAGTTAAGAAACCAAACAGTGCACTCCATTGGGCACATCTGCTCCAAAAGACCTCTTTAAAGTGTTAAAAATTAAAAAGCAAGGACTGTCACTTGTGGACTAAGGTGCCCCTGACCCAAGCCATGGTGTTTTCAGTTGCCTCATATGCATACAAAAACTGCACAAGGAATAAGGAAGACGGAAGAAGATTCGATGCCTTTGAATTATGGTGTTGGTGAATATTAAATATACCCTGGACTGCCAGAAAAACGAACAGGTCTGTCTTGGAAGACGTACAGCCAGAGTGCTGCTTGGAAGCAACAATCCTGGTGAGACTTCATCTCACATACTTTGGACATGTTATCAGGGGGACCAGTTCCTGGAGAAGGACATGATGCTCAGCAAGAAGGAGGAAGACCCTCAACAAGATAGATTGACACAGTGGTTTCAACTGTGGGTTCCAACATAGAAGTGATTGTGAGGATGGTGCAGGACTGGGTAACGTTTTGTTCTACTGAAAAGTCAGCTATTGAAAACTCTGTGGAGTGGAGTTGTACTCTGACACACATAGGGTCCCTATGAGCTGGAACCAACTCAGCAGCACCTAACAACAACAATGCATTGTTAACCAGTTATTGTTGAGTTGAATCTTGACTCATGGAAACCCCGTATGTGTCAGAGTAGAACTGTGCTCTATAGAGTTTTCAATGGCTGAGTTTTCAGAAATAGATTTCTAGGCTTTTCTTCCGACGCACCTTTGGGTAGACTTGAAACACCAACCTCCTGGTAAGTAGTCAAGCGCGTTAGCAGTTTGCACCACCCAGGGATTCCTTCTCATGCATTACTAGAAGCTCTTAAAGTGAATGTAAGACCACCCCTTTCTCTTTTTTGCCTTAATTTTTCCTTGCCCTTGGTTAGTATGTAAGTATTATCTTCCTAATGTTATTTTATGTATACACAAGTGCGTGCACACACATGCACACGTTTTAGCTACCAAAACATATATGTAGCTCCATTGAGAAAATCAGGAGAAAATCAGGCGCCTTAGTGACTGCTTGAGAACAGGAAACTCCTCCGCCTTAATAATTTTAGTGACAAATACCATCTTACCTATGTACTATGTGTTCTTCTTTTTACTTACTTTTTGCTATCAGACCCGTATGAGTTCATTAAACCGTGAAGAAGTCACTTTAGTTTGGTTACAGATATTATTCCATGGAGAGCCGGTGATTTTTCGCTTTCCCGGTTGGCCATCGTGGGGGTGGGGTTCCATCGTGGCTGAGCTCAGACAGCGTGGCTGTTGCAGGAGACGGGAGCCCAGGTTTCATGTTCGCCTTTGGCTTAAGGATTCCAAAGTGATCCGTTGCTCATCTCTTACTGGCAGAAAAGCAAATAAACTTCATTCCCTGAGCCTAGGTTCTCTAGGAGAAGTCCATGTCCTAGGGGAGATGGGTGATGGTTTTCGTTATCGTTGTATGTTTGCCCACAGACAGCGGACCTGGAACAAGCTATTAAAGATGCTCAAGAGTGTTACGACGGTGAGATCCAGCTTTACAATGAACAGATTGAAGGCCTGCGGAAGGAGATTGAGGAGACCGAGAGGGTCCTGGAGAAGTCTTCCTATGACTGCCGGCAGCTGGCAGTCGCCCAGCACACCCTGAAGAACGAGCTGGACCGGTATCAACGCATCATCGAGAGTGAAGGCAACAGGTGTGGTTACGGAGGGGCACCGTGGGGGGAGTGCATGCGTTTCTCTGCCCTGGTCACTTACTGGGTGCTTATTATGCGTTGGTCTGCTAACCAGAGAGTTAGCTGTTCAAACCCACCCAGAGATGCCTCGGAAGAAAGGCCTGCTGATCTACTTCCCCAAAATAAGCCATTGAAAACCCTATGGAGCGCAGTTCTACTCCAACACACATGGGGTCGCCATGAGTTGGGGGCCAGCTTGACGGCAGCTAACAGCTATGTGCCAGGCTCAGTTCTGGGCAACAGAAAAACATCTCGGATACTAGTGGGAGAGGGGGAGACGGATGAATGTGTAACCTAGGGAGTCTGACGTACAACAGGTGCAGTGGAGAAAATTATGGCAGGACGGGGCATGGCGGGGGTGATGGTAGGAGTACTTGAGGTTTTAGAGTGGTCAGAAGAGGCCTCACTGGGAAGGCATCTCTTTGCCCCACAGGCTTCTGGGGACATAAATGTCTTAGCAGATAGGATGACCAGGAGTGTTAAAGGAGATGAGGGAGCTAGCTCTGTGCTGGCCCATGGCGGGTACTCAGAGGTGTCGGTGTTATTAGCATTGTTACCTTCAGTAATGTGGCTGTCGGATACTCTGTCTAGTCTGTCTCCTCCATAAATGAGCCGCGACTTGAATCCCACTCATTTCAGTACAGCTGGGAAATGTCTGTATGTCTGTATCTCCATCTCCAGTCTCTAGCTACACCTGTGTCCACGTCTGCATCAACATCCACGTGCATGTGGGTATACATATCCGTATCTATATCGTATCTGTCTTAGTTACCCAGTGCTGTAGTAACAAAAATACTGTGAGTGAGTGGCTTTAAAGAACAGAAATTTATTTTCTCACAGTTCTAGAAGCTAATAGTCCAAATCAGTGTCTTGGATGTGTTGATTCCTTCTGCAAGCCTCTCTCTTAATTTCTGGTGTCTGCTGGCAATCCTCGGCCATCCTCGGCCATCCTCAGCGATCCTCGACGTTTGCCTTCCCCGTGTGTGTCTCTGTGTCTATTCTGGTCTTTTCATAACTCAGAAAGGATTAGGTTTATGAATGGCCCACTCTATTCTTCTATGACCCCATTAACATAACAGAAGAAAACGCCTATTTCCAAACAGGGTCATATTTACAGGTACAAGGGTTAGAACTTCAACACAAATTTTGGGGGACACAATTCAACCCATAGCATTATTCATATCCATATCTATAGATATCCTTCAGAGAAAAGACTGGGGACAGCCACCTCGTAGGATTCTGATTCTCTACTCAGTCTTGCTTCTTCTGTGCAATATTCTAATTTTCTGGGTTTACATACATACATACAGGTTGCTGTGGCGTTGATTCCGGCTCATGGTGACTCCATATGTGTCAGAGCAGAACCGTATTTCATAGGGTTTTCAATGACTGATTTCTCAGAAGTAGATTGCCAGGCCTTTCTTCTGAGGAGCCTCTGGGTGAACTCGAACCTCCGACCTTTTGGTTAGCAGCTGAGCGCATAAACCATTTGCACCACCCAGTGACTCCTTTCTAGGTTGAGGCTAATTAAAAGAGAAACACCTGCAGTAGCCCACAAGGGGCAGTTCTCGCCTCACTAGGGGTGCTCTGGCTTGGCTGCCAGTGCTTGAGTGTTTAGCAGGAGGAGCAAGATGATCTTTTTCTTTCTCTGTTCATGGTTAACATTCCAAATTATGTTTCTGTCACAGTGAAAGCTTTATGTAGACATTTACAAAAATAGGTCTTGAACTTGCTTTCAATGTCCTTGTGAAAATTTTTGTTTTAGGGACAACCCCTTGGCCCTCCCCCCATCCCTTCACAAAAAGGTAACTGGATAGCCATCTTGTTTGTTTGTAACTTTTAGTTTTGACGTAACTTCAAATGGAGAGAAATGTCACAAGAATAGAATAAGGGACCCGTGAGTGCTCTCTGCGCAGAATCGCTAGTTGCGTACATTTTGTCCCAGTTGCTCTATCATTTTTCCCTCTCTCTACTTGCATCTAATGTATATTATTTTTTAATAGCAAGTTGGAGATATTATGCTCTGTTTGCCTTAAATACTTTGGCCTGTACTGGCCACCCTTTTATTAAATCCAAGACAAAACAAAAACCCTGCCCACCAGAGAAGGGGCGTTTTTAGATTATGTACTTTCCCTACTTCACAATTTTTCAACAAGCGTGTTTCACAGATTATGACTTGAGCCCAAAGAAATGTTAATTTCCTTTACATCCTCATCCAGTATAGAAATGTATATGTGGTGATCTGTTTAAAATTGTATGGAATAAATGAGCAGCTTGGTTTAGGGAAACTTGGTTCATTTTTTGCTTAGTATTAGAGAGTAGTGCCCTCACTTTTGGGCTGTCTGTCTGGCTTGGTGAAATAAAGATGGCAGCCATGCTCTTTGTGGTTCATTCCCTCAGGCTCAACTCCGCCTTCATGGAGACTCCCGTCACCCTCTTCATCCAGTGCCCCAGAACCTCTCTCAGCCCTAGTCTCAGCGGGACAGGTAACATCCCCAACCCGGCTTCTGTTGTTTTCTGTTGTGTGAAAAATAGAAAAAAAGCAAGTGGCTTTCTTCCTGGCCTTCACGTTCGTGCTCCCTTCCAATGCATCGGGAAATTAAATGCTTCTACAGGAGGATCCCATCCCTCCCTCTTTCAGGTAGCCCCATGGGTGCTAAATGAGCAAAGAAGTTTGCAAGGAGAAAATCAGGCTTGGGGAATAGGTTGTCCCATGAGTGTCATTCCTGAATATGAAGCAGGTTACCCTGAAAAAATCCCTGAGCTCCAAGTTACTGAAACAAATACCAACTTGTATTTTTTTCTCCCCAAATTAAATGAACTATTTATGTAAGGTGCTTAATCCAGGGTCTGAGTTGATGCTCAATTCTTGTTTGCCTTCTCTTCTTTTCAAAACCCAGCAGAAATAGGCTTGTTGGGTATATGTGGCTTCTACCTTTAACATTAGGTCTTTTCTGGAATGGTTTCACACACCTTTGAGATGTGTTCTCAGACATCTTAATCTCCCCACTTTGGAACCAACATAACATGTTAGAAAGAAAGAAAAGATGGTAATGTCAATTGCCCATATTTCTAGGGCCTTTAAATCCATGTCTCTTATGTGGAAATGGGGATTCAGAGTCAGAACATTGCTGGAAGGGATGGCAGTCCTGCTGCCAAACCCCCAGGGCCAGCGCCATGATGCGCGACCTGTGCGTGGGCCCACGCTCTCCCTACCCTAGAGGGTTCCCCACTGTGCTCAGAAGGTCCTCTCCCATGCCCAGAAGGCTCCCCCCATATTCAGGGGCTCCACACTAGAAAGGCCCCCACACTCAGAAGAGCTCCCCCACCCCCACCCCAGAAGGGCCCTCACTGGGCTTATGCTCTGCTGCTGCTGTCTTGAAATTCTTAATGATCTTGGAACAAGGAGCCCTGCATTGTCATTTTGTTCTGGGCTCCAAAATTATGTAGCCTGTCCTGCGAACACTCCTTACTCCCCTGCCAGCACCCTGACTGGTCTGTTCCTCTGATGTGTTCCCTCTCTGCGTCCCCTTCTCCTTATTGTTTCATGGCCCCCTCCATCTTGAGTCGACCCACCAAGATGCCATTGCGTGTCTGTCTCAGTACAGTGGCTGACGGGGGGGGGAAGAGACGGAGAAGACCTTTGGGATGAAAAAGCTCAAACATCACTATGTTAGTGAGGTGGACCGGAAGTGCCTTCTAGAGTGAGACAGGGTGAGATTGTTGTCTATTTTCCTAAACTCTTAGTTTTCCCTTTCGCTAGTCTGAAGAAATGAATGTGGCCTTGGGAATACAAAATTCCTGTTGTTTCTGAATTTCATAGCATCTCTTTCTCTTTTTGCTCGGGAGGAAGGGGATGTCAGGGGCACAGGCAGCTCTGCTGCCTCTCTTTGGAGGAGAGAATGCCCTTGAGGAAAGGGTGTCCATTGCCTGGTCTGTGGATCCAGGTGTCTGCCCTTAGCTCCGCAGGGGCTGTAGTCGGCAGGCGCTATCGCTCACACTGACTGTTAGGGCGGTAGGATCTGTGTGATGCTCAGTGTGATGGTGACTGTGAGTGTCAGAACAGGAGCTTTCAGCAGCTCCTTCCCCCAGCTCTGGAAGCCCAGGGGGGCCAAGTGACTTGTCCAAGGTTACCCAGCTTCTTGGCAGAGCTGGGACCTCGACTTGGGCCTTGGGTGCTAAGAACCAGGCCCCTCTTCTCATTGCTCCTGCCCCATGCATAGAAATCCTGTTCCAGTTCTAGGCATTTGTCTCCAATACAGTGAGCATATTTTTGAATGAATACTGTATTTTCTTTCCCTTTCACTGACTATTATTATTTCTTCTCCTTCCTTTTTTTTTAAGATCTCACCAGGGCTGTGCAGGATATAACAACAGCAAAACCAAGACAGAAAGGCCTCCCCAAGAATGTTCCAAGGAGAAAGGAGATTATAGCTAAAGACAGAGGAGATGAAACTCTGGAAGACATACCGTTCCGTGGTCTGGAAGACACCAAGCAGGTGCAGGTGGTACTTCAGGAGGAAGGCGAATTGAAGCTTGAATCTGGGGCTGAGAAAGGAAGTCCCTCAATACAAGAAGGGGCTCCAGAGGATGTGCCTGACGGAGGGCAGATAAGCAGAGCCTTCGGAAAACTATCCAGGATGGTCAAGGAGAGGATGAGAAGCCCCAAAGAGCCCGAGCCCCCAGCTGACCTCTATACCAAAGGGCGCTATGTGCTGGTCACAGGGGATGCCAGTCATGTGGACCCCGGGTTCTGTCCCTCCTCTATCCCGGCCAAAGGTGGGGTGATTGTTTCCACCGAGGAAGACTCTGTGTCTCATGACAGCCCTGTGGAGCCTACTCCTGAGCAGCCCCAGCCCCCTTTGGAGAATGGACAGGGGGTTCCCCAGGAGCAGAAAGATGGGCAGCCCGCCAACCAGCACACCACAGACGAGGAGGAGATGAATGCCAAAGAGCTGAAAGGGCCCGAGGAGAAGCATGATGACCAGAAGGAGGGTGAGGTGACTGAGAGGCCCTATCCTGTGGTCATTCCAGAGGGACCGTCTACACCCCAGTCTCAAAAGCCTGAGGCCAACCAGGATAACTCTGAGGGGCATGGGGCTAGGAGCAGTGACCTGATGGGAAAAAGCCCTCCCAAGGCCTTGGCATATGAGAAGGTGGAAGTGGTGGAATCCATTGAGGAGTTTTCAACTGAGAGTATTCAGATGTATGAAGAAACCACCATAATTGTGGAGACCATTGGAAAGCCAAAGGGAAACAAGCACCTGGAAGAGAAAGGCTCTTGAAATGCCCAGGCTCAAGTGGAGAAAATGTCTTTGGGATGGGGAAGTGCTTTGATTTTTTAGAGCAAATGATACAAGAGTGAGGGTTTCTGTCTGGATTAGACCATAGTTGACCCATCTGGCATTGCCAATGAAGCCTTAATTAAAAAGTTTTTTTTTGGCTTGCACCATCCTTTGTCTAATTAATAGGGGCCTTGGGAATGTAGGTGGGTCCGCCACACTTAGGGCAAAGGCATGATGAATATTTTAATGAGTATGTTCTGTTAAACAGCCACCAAACCATACTTGTTTAGGAAAGAGAGATTCGCTCTTCATCTTGGTTCACTCAGAGACTCATTAGGGACTCAGATACAGAGTCAGCGTCTGAATTACACACACAAAATGCTAGTTGATGACATTTGGCATATTTTCACTCCATTTCATGCACAAGAGCATGCTCATGGTGGATGAGTGTTTTGTTAAAGATAAAATGATCAGAGGTGTCTGTTTGGGTTCCCCCAGAGGCAGCCCTTGAAGCAAGTATTTGGATGTAAGTAGTTCCTTTGGGAGGTGACCCAGGAAACATCAGTAGGGGGATGGAGAAGTGTGACGGGGAAAGCAGGGGAGCTGATAAAAGATGTTAGCTGGTTAGGTACACTGTGGGCTACTGGAACTGAGTCCTCATCCTACCTGGGAGGTGCGGGAGCTGGGGTATTTATACACCCACTCCTGTCAATCAGTGGGAGGGCTGCTTCCGGGGGCGTTAACTCTCTGGTACTTCTGGCCTGCCACACGAGCCAGCAAAATAGACTTTGGGGGCCAAGAAATACAGGTGCTGGCATTTGGAAGCCAGGCCAGCATATGTAGAAGCAGTAAGGGCAGACAGGCAGGGCAACAGCACTGTCTGCCACAGCATATGTACCAAATGTACTTTCTGTTGTTAACAGCTTTATTGAGATATAATTCAATGGAATTCATACCACTCATTTTACCCATTTAAAGTTTACAGTTTAGTGGTTTTTAGTAAATTCACAGACTTGTGCAACCATCACGACAATCAATTTTAGAACACTTTTATCACCTCGAGAAGAAAGCTGTATCCTTTAGCTGTCACCCTCCAGGGCTCCCTCCTCCGTAGTCCATACTGAATGTACTTTTGCATAAGATATTTAATATTTTTTCAGAGATTGCAGTTTTAGGTCAGTGAATTAAATAGTCTAACAAGCATTTACTGAGCATGCGGTTAGGTGCCGTCAAGTTGGTTCCGACTCATAGGTGCCAAATAGTATGCTATGTTGGTAAGGGAAGATGTTTTCAGATTTATTAATGATCTCAATTTACTGTAATATAGCCCTGTCACCTGTGTGCACACTCTCTTATGCACCAAAACACACCCACACACGTGCACCCATATACTTAGACTGTGTCATACCCTAAGAAATAGAAATTACTCAAAACTAGAATCTTTACAGAAATCTTAATATTGCCTTTAGGCTTCTTTTTTTCACTAAGTGTCCAAAAATATTTTTTTATTTATACCAATTAAAATTTTTTTTACTTCAGGAAAGGTGTGCATCAGTGTTGTATCCTTTCACCATACTTATTCAGTCTGTATGCTGAGCAAGTAATCTGAGAAGCTGGACTGTGTGAAGAAGAACAGCATCAGGATTGGAGGAAGACTCATTAACTACCTGCGATACGCAGATGACACAACCTTGCTTGCTGAAAGTGAAGAGGACTTGAAACATTTACGGATGAAGATCAAAGACTACATACAGCCTACAGTATGGATTACACCTCAACATAAAGAAAACAAAAAATCCTCACAACTGGACCAATAAGCAACATCATGATAAATGGAGAGAAGATTGAAGTTGTCAAGCATTTCATTTTACTTGGATCCGTAGTCAACACCCATGGAAGCAGCAGTCAAGAAATCGAACGACCTATTGCACTGGGCAAATCTGCTGCAAAAGACCTCTTTAAAGGATTGAAAAGCAAAGATGCCACATTGAAAACTAAAGTGCACCTGACCCAAGTCATGATGTTTTCAGTCACCTCATATGCATGCAAAAGCCGGACGATGAATAAGGAAGACCGAAGAATTGATACCTTTGAATTATGGTGTTGTCAAAGAATATTGAATATTCCATGGACTGCCAAAAGAATGAACAAATCTGTCTTGGAAGAAGTACAACCAGAATGCTCCTTAGAAGCAAGGATGGCGAGACTATGTCTCACATACTTCGGACATATTATCAGGAGGGATCAGTCCCTGGAGAAGGCCATCATGCTTGGTAAAGTAGAGGGTCAGCAAAAAAGTGGAAGACCCTCAACGAGATGGATTGACACAGTGGCTGCAACAGTGGGCTCAAGCATAACAACGACTGTGAGGATGGCACAGGACTGGGCAGTGTTTTGTTCTGTTGTACATAGGGTCTCTGTGATTTGGAATCAACTCGACGGCACCTATCAACAACAGCAAAGTGTTAAAAAGCAAAGAAGTCACTTTGAGGACTAAGGTGCACCTGACCCAAGCCATGGTATTTTCAGTCACCTCATATGCATGCAAAAGCTGGAAAATGAATAAGGAAGACATAAGAAGAAGTAATGCCTCTGAATTATGGTATCGGTGAAGAATATTAAATATACCATGGACTGCCAGAGGAAAGAACAATGTGTCTTGGAAGAAGTACAGCCAGAATGCTTCTTAGAAATGAAGATGGTGGAACTTCATCTCATGTACTTTGAATATGTTATCAGGAGGGACCAGTCCCTGGAGAAGGACGTCAAATAGAGGGTCAGTGAAAGAGAGGAAAACCTTCAATGAGATGGATTGACACAGTGGCTGCAATAATGGGCTCAAGCATAGCAACAATGATGAGGATGGCGCAGGATGGGGCATGTTTCGTTCAGTCGTACGTAGGCTCACTATTGAGTCGGAAATGACTCGATGGCACCTAATAACAACACCTAAGTTAAAAAAAAAAAGTTGCCATCAAGTAGATTCTGACTCATAGAGCCCCATGTGTGTCAGAGTAGAACTGTGCTCCATAGGGTTTTCATGGTTGATTTTTCAGAAGTAGATCACCAGGCCTTTCTTTTGAGGCACCTCTGCGTGGACTCGAACCTCCAACCTTTCGGTTAGGAGTTGAGCACTCTTAACGGTTTGCACCACCCAGGGACCCCATACGCTTCCCCCATGTAGATGCTCTAAGATACATGACGGGCAGTGAGTCAAAGTGCTTAAATGGATTCTTGCATTAGCCTCCCTCCAAAAAAAAAAAAAAAATCTGGCAAGACAACTACACTTCATCAGAGAAAATTGACAGAGCCATCAATTACATTTTGTAGTTCCATTGTTACGAATAACAAAGAATACTAAATGGAGTCACTTTCCTTTCTATGTAGAGCTTAAAAAAATCTCATTCTGAATCCCTTTGAGGTTTTGATTTCAAGAAAGAAATAATTTTGTTGTGCTTTTAAAAAGATGGAGATCCAACTCCGTTGCACAGTTGTGAAATATTTATAATTTAAAAGCTTAAGAGAGAATGATGAAAACGATTAGCTGGAGCTCAGAACATACTAGGAATTCTGGCCAGTATGTGTATTTAACATTAACAGCCACAGCAAACCCTTTTTTTCCTCCAGTAAGTCTTTTTATTTTTTGAACTATTTGTTCAGTTAATACTGTTATTTAAAAAGACAAGGGATATCTTTTTGAAGGCGTCCCTGGGTGGTACAAATGGTTAATATGTTTGGCTGCTAACTGAAAGGTGGGTGGTTCAAGCCCACCCAGAGGCACCTCAGAAGAAAGGCCTGGCGCTCTACATCCAAAAAATCAGCCATTGAAAGCCCTGCGAAGCCCAGTTCTACTCTGACACACATGGGGTCGCCATGAATTGGAATCCACTTGATGGCAACTGTTTTTTAAAAAATATTTTTGGAAAGGTCATTTTTAGATTATATTCAATCAATCAAAAAAAAAAAAAATGGGGGGCCTGTTCTGTGCCAGGCACGATTCTGGGTACCAGGGAGGCAGCAGAGAACAATCAACATGGCCTTGCTATCACAGACATGACGTTCCAGCGGGGAGGAATAATGAGAAAATTAGAGATGATACTAGGAAGGAAGTCACATATGGTGATGTGCTAGAGTGAGTGGGTGGGGGTTGGTGACTTGGATTTGGTAGTCCAGGGAAGACCTGGTGGAGGAGGCGACGTGATCTCAATGACAAGATGGGGCCAGTCACATGAAGGTCTGAGGGAAGAGCATTTTAGGCCTCAGGATCTGCAAGTGCAAAGTCCCTGGGGCAGGGATGGGCTTGACCTGTTTGAGAAGAGAAATAAAGGGAACTGTCGGGGGACAATGGAAGGGGATGAGGTCAAGGGCAGAAGCCAGGACTAGAGAAGCACCATTTTCTGGGCAGGCTCACCTCAGCCTCAAAGTTAGGCTCAGAGTGTGAAATGTGGGCATGGCTAGTGGCCAAACCTCAGTGGGCACTTTGGGGCCCAGTCGGGCTCTTTGTTCCCCTGAGAGCCCCAGGATTTGCCCCAGTTGTTCATTTCTTGGCTGCTGCTCTCCGTTTCCCCTGCTTGGGGAGCTGTGGAGTGGGTTCATTTCCTGGCCCTTCCTCTCCCCAAGGTCTCTGAAAACAAGCACAAACACTTGTGTTTTATAAAAAGCATTTCTTGTTAGTAAGCATGGTGCTCAGCATGGGCCTCCCAATGGCATCGATGACAAGAAGACATGGGGACTTTGACAATACCTGAGATGCATTAAGTACTGGTGCTGGTCATAATGTTATGTGAGATGTCTCGGCACCTCCCCCCTGACTCAGCCTCAAGCCTGGTCTAGGAAGGAGACTCTCCCACACCTGCCGCCTCCATGAAGAAGCTTTTTCCTGGCTCCCTACCCTCCTGTTTCCCCGAGCATTAAAGCTGGGACCAATAACTGTTGCTGTATTGGCTGCTTGGGTGCGTCGCACAGATCCCCCAACACTAGGTGCTCTGGTTCCTGCCTGCACTCCACGGCTTCTCACGGAGAGTACACGCGCCTCTAGGCCTTAGGGTTCCCTCTGGCCA